TCCCGAGGAGCCCCGCTCCGTGGGAGAGGGCCGCGGGGGACTGAGCCCTGGGCCACCCCAAGCCTGTGGCGGGCGGCCGTGTCCCTGGAGGCCCAGATCGGGGGCTGGTAGCGTGTCCAGGCATCTGGGAAGCCACGGGCCGCTCGGACGGCCTCACCCAGCCCCGCTCCTGTCCCCGCAGATTCTGGGCCTGACCTTCGCCATGACCATGTACTGCCAGGTGGTCAAGGCGGACACCCACTGTGCATAGGCCGCCTGCCGCCCGCTTCTCCGCCGAAGGATGCCGCCCACCGGGGAGATGGCCCCGCCCACACCCGCCTTTGCGGCCGCAGGACTTGGTGCTGTTCCAGACTGGGCAGAGGGGAGCAGGAGGAGGTGCCCCCAGTCCCCAGGAACCCCGTCTCGGGAAGGCCCCAGCTCCGGCAGCTTTGGGGTCGGTCCCCAGACCAAGCAGGAGGGAGCGGCCAGGCGCTAGCTGTGCTACCTAGGGCACCAGCTGGGGGGCTTCTGGCGTTTTTTATGTCCATGTCTTCTCCAGAGCCTTGTTCATACGGGGTGGGGACCACCCAGCAGTCCCTTGGCTTCCCGGGACACTGGGGGTGGGGCTGGAAGACCCACTCGGCTGTGCTCTGGGCAGGGCGCGGGCCCCATCATCCACATTCCACAGCAGCGTGGGGGCTCCAGCTGCAACCTAATAAAGCGTGTGAGCCCTAGCGTGTGCGTCGCCGGTCCACCCCCCAGCCCACTCCCCCACACCCTCCCCGCTGGAACCCGGGCCTGGGGCGGGCAGCCTCTGGCATGGATGGTACCCAGGCAGAGCCTGCCTGTGGCCGTGGACGCCCGTCAGTGAAGCCGGGGACTGTCGGGCTGGAGTCAGCTGCCTGGGGGAAAGGGGCCGGGAAACCCACCGTTGGCCCCACTGGTGTTAGAGGGGCCCCGGAGCCTCCCTGACCCGCTCTAGGGCGGGCCTCCCCCGTCCCCCCGCCCCTCCCCTGCCCTGGGGCGTCTGTTTCCCCAGGCCCTTGCGGCTCCTGTTTTCTTCCAGGACTCTGCCCCTTTAAGGGCACAGAATTGGAGAAGGCTAAATGCAGCAAGCCACCTCAGAGACAGGACTCTCCCCGGGGGCCAGGAGGGCCGTGCAGGGATGAGCTGGGGTTCGGGCTGGGCCTGGGCACCTCTCAGGAGCCTTGTAGCTGTGGGACATCTGATCCCCTGGACTGCACCCCCCACCTTGGTTTGCGGCTCGTTCCTGCCACCCTGGGGGGACGTCCTCAGCCCCTGTGGGCATCCAGCCTGTGTGGCACCCTGCCCCCCCAGCCAGAGCCCACGCCGTGACTCCCTCTCACCCCCAGCCCCCGCGTCCCAGCCCTCCCCGAGTGGTTCCCGCCACGCATCCCACGTCCCACGGTCCTTATGCCAATCCCGGAGAACCAACCAGAACTAACGCGTGGTGTCAGCAGGTCTCGGGACAGTTACCACATCAAACTATACACAGCGGAGTGGCAGGCGTGGAGGCAGGCCTGCTCGCCCCGGGGCGTGGGCTCCAGCTCCCGCGTTCAGGCCCTCCCACCGCGTCCCCCGCTGAGGGGCTGAGGGGCTCCACAGGCCTAACACTGAGTCTCCTGCCCCTGGCTTTACAGACTCAGCCGGGACCCCATGCCCCCCGGCCCCACGGCACTCCCAGTGGCCAGTGGCGCCAGAGGCCCCGCCTACTCGCTGGCCCTGGGCCCCACCCAGGACAGGCATCCACCCATACCCTGGTCTGACTGCTGCTGTCCCCCACACTCCGCCCTCGGGGCTGGAGGAACTCCCAGCTCAGTCGGGCACCAGCTGGCCAGTATGGGCCCAGGAGCCTAGGCTGTGCTCCACGGCTGCCAGTGTCCTGCCCCCCATGCAGATGGGCAAGGAACCCCACCGAGACGACGACCTGGGAGCAGGTGTGACGAGCCCTCGAGGCCAGTGGAGGGACAGGAGCTGGGGGGCAGGGGCGGGGCAAGGTCCGGCCATGCCTCGGCTGCTGGTGCCTCAACACTCCTGGACGTCTTCCCGAAGTCCAGACCTGGGTCCAGTGTGCACAAGGCGGATGGAGGTGGCCAGCCACTGCCCCTGCCTGACATCTCGCGAGGGACAACGCCGGTCCCGACTCAGCCCACAGGTCCTGCTGCCACCCCTCACGCAAGCCCTGCCCCTCGCTATGTTCCACAACATGGCCAGACCAGCCTGGTGTTACGCCACGGGGGCCGGGGTTTCAAGGGGGCAGGGCCGGCTCCTGGTGTGGCCACCACACCCTGGGCTTGGTGAGGAGGTCTGCTGGAATCTGCTGCAGGGTCAGGGCCCTATGCACACGTGCCGTGGCCGGCCAGCGTGATGGCAGGGGTGTGGGAGGGCTCTTCAGCTCTGCACCACCAGGCCCTGGGGCGACACCGGGCAGAGCTGTCCCAGCTGCAGCCCTGGAGTCCAGGCAGGGGCAAGTCTGGGATTGTTCCAGAGCCCCAAAGCCACATCCAACCCCAGGACCCAGCAAGTGCCCAGGCAGAAGCCGGAGTGCTAGGGGCACCCGTAGCGAGGACTCAGCCCAGGACTGGTGCCTGGGGCGGGACTCCTCGTGTGAGCGTGGGCATCGCGCAGCTCCCAGGCCCCCGCCGAGGACCACAGCGGACGCGTCACAGCAAACAGAGCGGAGGCCTGTATTTCACACTGTCAGTCACTCCATGGCTTAGAAGAGAACACGTCCACCCTGGAGGCTGTGCGGCCACCTAGAGCAAGTCGTAGAAGTAGTCCAGGCCCTGGCCCAGCTCCCAGATGGAGAGCCCGACGCCCAGCTCCCTGGCCAGCTCCAGCCGCACCTGCAGGGACTGGGCACAGACGGAGGAGGTGTGGGCATCTGCCAGGGCCCTGCCACCCCACACCCAGGACTGTACCACAGGCTGAGGGGGCAGCACTGCCTGGATTCCAGGGTCTGACTCCTACTGCCTACTGCAAAGGGCAAAGGTCACCATGGGGAGGGGGCCAACGCCCCCCCCGCCACAGTGCACGGAACACAGCGGGCACACAGCATGCACGCACGGCACGTACCTTCAGAGTTGGGTAGAAGACGACGTGTCTCCCGCCGCGGCTCCTGTAAGATGAGTGGGACGGCCTGCCATCTGCCATCTCGAATCCTCCCGGCCCCTCTCCCCCCCAGGCAGGTCCCTCCCACCATGTGGCCACCCGCCGTCCCCGTCCCCCACTCTCATCCCCAGGGCCGCTTGCTGCACACCAAGGCTGTCCACAGCCGACACTCACTTCTTGTATTCGAAGAAGTGCTCTGAGGCCTGGCTGTCCCACACGATCCGGGGCCTGTGGTCCTTCAGAGTCTGGATGTACCTGGGGAAGCCAGGTTGTGG